ATTGCCCCTTACAGGACTCATTTCACATTGCAAGGACCACTGCACTTAGCTATTGCTGTAACCTTTATAACTTACAAATACTAATTTTATCAAGAAGAAAAAAAAAGGTCTGAATTTCAGTTCTGCAAATTTAGCCCTTTCCATAAGAGTGAGGGCCATTATTCCTGGCTCTGACAATGCTAAAAATAATAATAAAGGCCATTTACCTCTTCTGGAATATCTGCCTGGTCCTCTTTTGAAACTAGTGGAAATAGCAGAATATCTACCTTTTTTAGATTCAGCATTACTATATAGAATTCACTGTCATGCTGGTGTGAGGAGACAGGGAATACTGCTTTTCCCATCCCCCTTGAGGTTATGCACAATTAATTGAATTAAAGCAACGAAATGTTTTTTACTCAAGTGAACAGAGGACTAAACTCACAGAGGGAATAGGTCTATTGACTGGAGGAGAGAGCACAGAGTTCTTTTCAGACATTGAAAGAAACAGTGTTTTTTATAGATTATTCACTGTGAGTCATTTTGTCATTCAAGAAACTTACCACACTGACTGCCTCACTCATCTTTACTGGCTGGTGCACTGTTGTTTAAAGAAATGCTAAGAAAACTGTTTCCTAAAAAATTTTGTTGCAGAGAAAGGAAAGGATCCCACAGGGCAGGAGGATGGGACTAACAATGAAGAAAATGCTAAGTTGTTTTCAAGAAGGCTTACATATAGTCAGGATTTAAAGTTGCTTTGGTTTGACAAGACAGGCTGACACTGGGATTTTCTTACCCTTTCCTTTTGCTGCTGCAGGGTCCATATGGAAGAGCACTAAGAGCAGCCCAAGGGAAACACATCCCCATGCTGCACTGCTGCAAGGGAGCTGTTGTAGGCATGCAGAGATTGCTGCCGGTTCAGGTATTTGTTCCCATTTCAAGTTCTACCTTCATCCGTCCTCTTGACCTGCTTCATGGATTTATGCAGAAATGGAAAAGAATAGACCCAGGGCTTTATTTCATTAACAAGAGCTCCAAAAGGGTACGGAAACATTGAAGCATGTGTTCAATCATGCTTACATAGGTACCATGCAGGTGGGGCAGTATTTCTGTGCTTTACACCTGCCCCTTTCTTTGTCCCTCTCCCCAGCAGCACAATCACTGAAAGGCCTGGCAAAATCTGTCCCATAGTAGCTAGCACTAGGGCTGCTGGAAATGCCTGAAATAATCCTCAGGGCATGTGAAGGTCTTGGTGATGTTTCTGTCTGCTTTGTAAAACTGGTCTCAAGGGCGTATATTATTGTACTGCTAAGGTGTCTGAGTTCAAGGAGCATGCTGAGGTGGTACATGGGAGCAAAGAGGTAACATTTGCCAAACTCGCTTTTCTTTGCCTGCAGTATTTGCTCAGGAACACAACAGCAGTGACCTTGAGCTCCCCATGACCACAGTGGTAGAAATTATATTCAAGTATAGGCATGGTGCCAGCTGCTTGGTTTAGAAGAAAGGGAAGAAGCAAAGACATCTGTCGGCAAATGTTTTTCTCACTTACAGACAGCAGCAGGAAACAAATCTACTGATGTAAGTGGGATTATATTGGTGCAAATCTACTGTTTTAAGGACCCTTTGGTGGGCAACTGAAGGATTGATGGTCCTTATTAGTCCCCCATACCCACAGAGAATGGTGGTGTGAGAACAGAGGGGGTCTGGCTGCATCCTTCTTATCAAAAGAAAGCAACTTAGGTGGTGCTGGTGCCCTGTCACCAGTTGTGGGCCGCTCTTCTGAAGTGGGGAGACAAGGAGAGTATTATGGAATGATATAGCTGCCTTGGCCCCATTAGAGATATGCCTAGTCCAGTGCTAAGGGAGGAAAATATTTTTGCCTGACATTTGATCTACTGTTCTCGTAATCTGTGCCTAAGACCCTTTGGAAAGGAAACCCTTGATTCCTGTATGTGGGATAATGATTTTGAATCCAGTTCTTTTACTGCCAAACCAATGGCACTTTGGCCAATTGTATCCATAGAAGAGGGGGCACAGGATTTGTATTCCATGTCAGTTGAAATAATAATGATATATGACCATATATCTGGCAAAGCTTATACAATAATAAACACACCCCCAAACAAACAAAACAATCTAGCAATCTAATTGCCAAACAATCATATACAATTTATTTTAGGGAAATAAGACAATTTACCTCACGCTTAGAGGACTGCTCATTTAACTGTATTTATTATAAAATTAAGGTATTTTATATAGTACTTCTGCAAAATGAAGAGGACACTCAGCTAGATAAAAACTGTTGCAAAAAGATGACAGCCCTAAGACTTGACCACTTCGTAACCCATTCCAGTGCTTGTGGAAATCCCTTATTCCAGGTTATCAGCATGTTGATTTAGCTCTAGTACTCTAGGGGGGATAGATGGAAAGCTAAATGGTTGCCATACCTCTCTGTTAGATATTTCACATTAGGTAGCACAAGAAATGCCAGTTGTTCTGCAGATGTGTGTGATTCTGCCTCTTCCTTCTTCATCTGAAATGCAACATCCATTACCTTTGTTCTCTTGATAGCAAGCACAGACCCAAAGTTGTGCTTCTTTTTCTTGTGACAAGGAAGATCCTGGGACACTCTGTGGCCAGAATATCAAGTTGTGTGTCCTTCACTGATCCTGGTCATTTGCAATGCAAATGGTAGGCTTTGTCTTACATAGTGCCATATCCATGGTAACCAAATGAAGACAAGTTTGCATTACTTCCTTAGTAAAGTGTAATCCTTCCCCTGGTACATGTGCCAAGGAAGCATATGGACATAAAGGGACAGCAATATATTTTGTGGAATGGGAAGAAACCAAAACACCTTCTGCCTTTACCTCCCCCCCACCCCCGCCAACCCCCGTGCCAGCTATCGTTGCACTTACTCCTCCACCCTCTTTTTCCTATCTTACCTTTGTCTAGAATTCCGATTGTTAAAAATTAGACTAGTCTAATTAGACTAAGCAAACAATCATCAGGTCAAACTAGCAACTTAAAGCCCACTTCCTGGCAAACAGCCCTTCCTTGCTTTTCTCAGTATCTTTAAAAAAAAGACAAACCCACTTTTTTTTTTTTTTTACATAGCTTCATAGACTGTTTCTTTTGACCAGCTTTCTTAGCAAAGGGAACAGTCTCAAATTGAGTGTACTGCATAATTATTTCTGTTGATACCATTTTCACTGTTGTTTTGTTTTCTTGCTTTTGACACCCTGTGCACTGAAGTTATATGCTTCCCTTTATGTATCTGGGAGGCTTAAAATACACCTCTTTCCCTCTTCAGCACAGTCTCATGCTGTTTGAATATGAGAAAGATCTTCTTTACTATGCAGATGGCCAAGTACTGGAAGAGATTGCCCAGAGAGGTTGTGGAATCTCCCTCAGTGGAGATATTCAAGAACTATCTGGATGCAATCTGGCGCAGTGTGTCTTAGAATGACACTCTTTGGGCAAGGAGGTTGGACCAGATGACCCAGTGTAGTCCCTTCCAGTCTTACTGATTCTGTGATTATGTGAAACATTTTTATTTAGTGTTATCTGCAATGTTTCTTCTCTATAACAGTGAGCTCACCTGGTGCTTAAAATGCAGAACCATGATACCATCAACTTCCAATTCAATTATTCACAGTGAACAACACTGCTTGTGTCAACTAGCACTAAGACTTATACTTTGAAAAGAGCAGAACTAGCTGATACTATGGCCTCTGGACAGAAATTTTACCAAAGGCTTCATATGGGTAGAACCCTCCCCAAATTTATATTTACCACCACATGAGAAAGCTTTAAGTCTTATTACAGCATTCACTACCTCTTATGCTTCCAGAAGATCTCCATTCCCTGAAGTTACTTCACCTGTAAGTGTTCATGTGGATGTTCCAGAGGTGGTTTGAATATCAAACCAAATCTCCTTTATTTCCTCCAAACAAATGGCAGGCATGTTGTAGAGACAAAAGAAATTAATATCGTCCACAGCACCTACAACTGCAGTGTGCTTAACAATTCAAATGTTGATGGGCAGGGAAAGGGGACCTCAGCTTCATTTATCTGACCAAAGTCAGGCCCTAAAGCTAAAGACAGAAGGGTTTTGTCATTTCCTTTTGCTTCTGATTAAGACGGAGAGATAACTGGAGACCTCAGTCTTCAAGCAGTGGTTTATCCTAATATATGGCAACTGAAAAGAGTGAATAATACAGACCAGAAATTATGATTATTCTTGCCTGAGGGCACCTTGCTAGATGCATCTTTCTACTTGTTTACTGGAGCAGAAATTGATGCATCAAGGTACTGTGATCTTTCTCTCTGAAGGAGCTGCCATAAGAAATGTAGCTGAGCCAGAATACGTAACACAACTCTGTCACTTATGACAGTAGTAGTATGAAGGATTTTTGCTGTTTTCCTCCCATTTCTATTTTCAGTGGTTACCTAAAAACAGCAACTGATTCATAAATTATATGAACTATGAAGTTGATTATAGAAAAACTTCTCATCCTAGCTCTGGGATATGAAAAAAACATTTTTTCCTACTCATTCCATGTTGCAAAAGCATACTTAGTGTTCTGCTGTCATGCAAAAACAGCCCAGTCACCACAAATATACTCAAATACTTTTCTGTATAGATATGGAAGGTTTTGAGAATTTAAAGGCCTTCCTAACTCGATTAATAGATTTGCTTCTACCTCCTAATTCATGTCTACATAACGAAAAATTTACTTGCATATTTCTCAATATTAAAAGTAACCGGGAGCTGCCTACTTGAGTATTGGTGAAGATGGATATGGAGACGTTTGCATTCATAAACATCTACAGAAAATGGATAAATATTAGCCAAGTGTTATGAAGTAATCACTTGAAAAATTAAAAGCAAAAAGTAATAGCAACAGTGCTATCCAGCATGTATCATACAGTGTAAGGAATATCATGGGAAGCTGATAAAGTTCAAGTTCCTGTTTCAGTGAAATAAACACACTTTACCCTAGTTGGTGGCAGGGAGAATGGTTCTGTTAAATGCTGGCAGCAAAAGTGAGACAAATCTGTCTGGGAACCTCCCTTAAAATGTTTAAGTGTTTCTTGATTTTTAAAAACTTTTCATTTCTTCCATTCTCTAGTAAAGAGCTGGTATAAATATATGGCTGATGCATAGTCCTCAATTTCTACCTTGAAACTACCTTGGAGGGGAGGGGGAAAGGGTGCAGTGGGTAAAAAAGAAATTTCAAAAATGTTCTGAGAGTGTTATCAAATGAACAAAACACACAGAACAGGGAAACCAGCCAGTCATTCATTCCATCGACAGATTTGCAAAGCTAAATCTGCTTCTGGAGAGCAGTTAGAAATTAAAACACACAGATGATGATTGGTGCTGGCACCCAAACTGTGAACAAGAGGACACTCTTGCCTGAAAAGATGTACCGTATCAGATTAATCATTATGTGTTAATTAATTTGAAATCAAAAGAATGTCTTCAGCTGTCTATGCACAGGAAATTAATGATGATAGCACTAATTAAATGTAATGAAAGTTATCTCTGTGTTTTACATATTTGGGTCCAAACTCTTCATTGCCCTTCATGTTGTGTCATTTGCAGTTCAGTCCCATTGTATCATCTTCCCCTGCTGTAAAGGGCTGTGCAAGTCATTGGCCAATAGAGAATCGGGCCAGTGGATTACTCAACTGAGAAACTAGCTTTAAACACTGACTTCATACCCTGAAAAGGTGTGTCACTGCATCTCCTCCACCGGGAGTCATCCTAACATGAAAAAACGTTCCTTCTGGCTTGCTCTTCTCCTTTACTCCCCCAAAACACTACTGTCCTTTCTTTGACCTCCTTCTGTCACATGGGTATTTCTCCTGACGACTTCTCTGACAGGTGGGAGGCTCCATTTTCTGGCAGATTTTTTCTTTAACCAAATGCAGTGGCAGATATTGCAGACACCATTCTTGTGCAACAGCAGCACTCTGACTGGAAGAGACTGTGAGAGGCCACAGCAAGTAGACGAGACTCTGGACTCCCTCTGTCAAAAGACATGGAAGACATAGTTCATGCTGTATATCCCATCCTCTGCATAAAGGATGTTTCTAGCCTGTTCTTTCAGCCTTTTGCTCATAGCTTTTTATCAGTCTCAAGGTCTCATAAAAGGAAATAATGGAAAAGAAATCAGTAAGTGTACCAACTGACAAGTTACTAATTACAACTAAGGATTTAAGTGATTTCAAAGAAGGTTGAGTTTCTTGGTCCAGAGACCATTTACAGAAGAGACCGTCTTCCACAGCATTCTCCTGGAGAAACTGACCACTCATGGCTTGGATATACTCTTCACTGAGAGAAAAGCTGTCTGGATGGCTGGGCCCAGAGAGTGGTGGAGAATGGGAACTAAATCCAGCTAGTGGCTGGTCTCTAGTGGTGTTCCCCAGGGCTTAGCATTACTGCCAGTCCTATTTGATATCTTTATCAACAATCAGGATGAGGGGATTCCCTTCTGCCCATCTCAGAAAACTTGTTGTGATTAATAATTGCATTGAGAGGACATTGCTTTCGTGGTTTAATGGAGCAGTTTTCATGGTCTAAGTAGCAGCTGGACAGCTATGTCAGTGTTATCATACTAAACTCACTTTTGGTCACAAATGCATGTTACATGTGGTAAAGGGTTAATTTGTGAAAGATATGAGATTTGATAAGGAACAAGATGTCCCAGCACTAGCAGTTGCAGAGGACTTTAAAATTTCTGTTACAAGGACAAAAATCCTACAATTTGAAAGGATACTATTGACAAGAGGAAATATTATTATATTTACATTGCACAGAGGAAACTGACGTGTAAAAGAAAGAGGAGACTTGTCCATTCGAGAGGGAATTCATGTTTCCACAGTGCCAGCCCAGGAATTCAGCCTTAAAAAATAGCTTCCCACCATATCACCAACAATAGAGCTTTCTATTGACTGATGGGCTCTAAAAATGCCTCTGATGTCTCACAAAAAGTAAATGCAGGGAATCTTTTCTTTAGTTTTCATACTTGCTTTTTGAGATGGCAGCAGATTCAGGCCAAGGAACTGACCATAGCTTTGATGTGGACAAAGGAAGGATTCTGTTGTGCAGCAGAGTATCGTGGGCTTACCTAGAGGAAGACTGTCAAAAGTGATAGACCACCCTTTTAATATGCCACTGCTTGGTAAGACTGGAAAAATCAGGTTCTGCAGGTACTCAGCATTCCATGGTAACTGAGGACAATGTCAGAGGTTTTTTTCTGTACTAGTTTGTTTCTACTGGTGATAAGCATTCATGCTTTGTTCTTAGTCACTAACTCCATTTTTATTCTCAATGTTTTGGTCTTGCAGGGTTCTGGTGGAATCTTTGCCCCTGTTGTATTTCCTATTGATTATTTGTTTCCTCAGGTGAGTTTTTAAGTACCAGATACTTATATTGATACTCAGTGTCACAATTGTGGTTGTGTTCTGCCTTGTTTTTCTTTATTGGATAGGGAAAAAATCACCAGTGTTACAAAATCTGATCTTACTTTCATCAAAACTTCACCATTGTTATACTGTTCTCTTGGTGAATGTGCCACTTGTCAGGGAATGTGGTGTCAGACCCCTGTCTGAGGAAGTCTGTTTAGTCTAAGGCTTGGCTGCTTCTTCCATCTTCCAGAAAAGGATGTTCATCTCTCTTCCTTCTAAAGTATGTGAACTGCCTTACTCTTTGTATTGATCATAAAGGGAACCTAAAAGATTGGTTGTGAGAAAACATTCGGTCTTACTGGGAGATTCTAATCTTCAGTGCACCAGTAATGAGCTTTCCGGATTATAGCTAGGCAGACACTGATAGTCTTAACACAACCCTGTTGCTCTGTAGTTTAACAAAAAAAAAAATAGAATAACTTTGTAAATTCATAGACACTGTATTCCACATGTCAAAATTACGTCTCAAAAGACTTCTGATTGCCGCCCACTTTCTGTGTCATTTCACTGCGTTAATGAGAGTTGTACCATTTAATCCAGGAGATGATAATGCAAGGAAACCACCTCTCACTTTATCTTATGTCCAACTGAGCCATGTTGCAGATCGACCCTTCCCTCCCTCCTTTGTATTGGAAAGAAAGGCAGATCCTTAAACTGACAGTCTCAGTGGCTTTGGTTGAACCTGCAGCAAAAGAGGCTTGTCTATAGCATTTTTCAGCAATGAGTTAAATATCTATGAGCCATCTTTGCTTACCTTCAGGGTACAAAACTGAAAAGAAAAGTAGGAGAGCTTGGATCAATTTCTTGCTCCACTGCAGGCTTCCTGCATGCTAGGCAAAAAGGAGCAGATAATCTTCCCTCCCCTGAAGAGTGGACTGTCTCCCTATTTCAAGCTATGCAGGAACTGTATATTGGGATGCATTCATGCAGAATCAGAAATTATGTTTTCAGTTTTCTTTAGGATTGCTAGATACTTCCAGAATATTTATGGCTGCATATAATTTTCATAGATTATATAAATAATATATATATATGACAAACGCTGAGTGGATAGGGAGGGGGAACCCCAGAGCAAGAGGCCTTTCCTTTTACCCCTTGCTCCGAGGGCGAGCATGCCCTCCCCCTGGTCCCCCCAGCCCCCGGCACCTCATGGCCTCCCAGAGGGACCACGGGGCCAGCAGCCAGGCAGGGAAGGAATGCAGGCAGAGAGAGAGCTTTATTGTTCTGCTAACAGCTTAAATAGCTTTTGGGGAGATTACAATGTGACCATTAGGAGTTCAGGAGGTGTTACAAACCAACCAATTACAGGAAAGGGTTAACAGCCAATGACCTTTCAGTTATCTCTCAGACATTCCGAGGTACAGTGAGGGATTTTGGGAAGGAGAAGGTAAGTTTGCACAAGTTACAAAAGCCATTTTGGAAGCATGTTCACTTTAACCACATTACAATTTCGACATCCTTTTATATATAGCAGAGTTACCCCAACATATATATACAAATTTTATTTTACTTTCCAAGTTTGATTATAAAAAGCCCTCAGACTACTAAAGGAAATGATTAGATTCTTCTGTCAATATTTCTTTTCCATTCCAGGATTCACCAAAAAAGAAGCCGTACAATAAGGTGGTTAATTGTTACAAACTGATCTGGCAATAGCCTTCCAAAGGGCTCTACTTTTATTTTTAGAAGACTCTGTAGAAGAAAATATTCATCACTGGTTACATTCTTGTGTTCTGTAAGTTTTGTGTTACTTTATTACTGAAATATTTGTTATTTAATTTCTCCAGTAGGGAATATAATATCTACAATATTGAAGTTTCTGGCAGGTGTAAGACCCCAGGCCCTGAGCTGTGAGCTCACCAAAGGAGTTTTATTTTTAAAATATACAAGGCTCCAACAATATCTGCCCTCCAGATATATTAGAAGACCCCTGGGTTCTTTTAACACCTTAAGAGAGAGCGTATAGGAGAAGAGCTGCACACATTTTCTCAGGGGGTACTTATAGTGGTAAACTTTAGAAAATAAAAGTACTTGGCAAAAGTTTAAAGGGTAACATCCCAGAAAGCATTGACTTAGCACATACTAACCCATATAACTTAGCAAAATCCAAACCGTCCAGTCTCAAGCTACCCAAAATATTAAGAAAGAAGATTAGGAGAAGAAGTAAAGAAAGAGAGAGTAAAAGAGGAAATTATAGGTACTGCTGGAGTCCTGTGAGAGTCCAGCTTCTACCTGTCCAGGTGGCAGGGTTTGAACAAGCACAGAGAGTACATGTTGCTGCTTTCATTTGCTTTGGCCCTGCTGTGGCCACACAACCTAACCCAAGGTGGGACTTCTGGTGTGCCAGCCTATCCTGGGCTGGGTCAGGGGCTCTGAGGTGGGATGTAGGCAGTGCTCCTGGGCTGCCTTTGACTGACAGCTGCTCAGGGGTTGCCTGGTGTCTGCAGGGGCTGGGATGTGGGACAGGGCATCAACTCACTTCTGTGAAATTCAACCTGCCCCTTATCCTCCTCCGACACACACACACACACACACACATGCACTTGAGTTGGTCCAAGTCAATAATAAGTATAATAATCCAGTCTCTCATAGTAGGGAAATTCTTCCCCCTGAAAATTCAGAAAAAAATATTCTACTTTGGATTATTTCAGCCAAAGAATGAGCTTTTTATTTTGTTGATCTACATCAAAATGCTTTTTCACAAATATTTAGTTTGAAATGACATGTCTTGCCTAGGATCCAGTGCTTCATAAGAAATATATCTCAGTACTGTATTAATTTCTAGGCTATTCTTTGAAGTATAGAATTTCCCTTCATGTGTCTGGATCACTTTTTGATCAGGTTATCTGCTTCATCATAGGAATTTCACAATGCTGTGTGCCCCAGGGGAGATGTAGTCTGCTCTACAACCATGATTTATAGCACAAACTGTGGTTTCATATGCCCACAACCCCATGAGTCAATGTACTACTATAGGAAAATCTAGTTTAACCTTTAATTTAAAATTGAATGTATTTCATTCACCAAAACTGAGGTTTTTAAACTTTTGTAGTACTTTGGGATAAAAACAAAGTCTGAAAGACTGGTATTTCCCATGAACTCTTTAGTATGACTTCATGCATTCACTGCTAAAGCAAATGCAGCTTAAATGTACAAACAAACAATCAACAACCAAAAAAGATGCAGACTTAGGAGTAATGTTTGAAAGTGAGGTGAGGAGCAAAAAAATAGCAGTAGTCTTATATTACAGTCACAGCAACATTTTCCAGTATTAGGGTAAGGCCAAGTCAGCCAAACTCATACATAGCAAAGCTCGCCATTACTGCAGGTTTCATTATTAATTACCATGTCACCATGCGGACATGGATCAGCTGAGAGCCATCATACATCTGCCTCCTACATGATCTGCTGAAAAGGCTTTTGCTTCCATTCTACTCACTCCTGGCTCAGATAAGCTGATTTAATTAGATTCTTAGTAACATTTAAGTTCAGAAATGATAGATTTTACTCTTGCAGAATGCTAAAATTTCATGGTCTTTGCCTTAAGCATAAACTAAACATTTGAATCTCAACACTTAACAGAGGCCAATATATACTGAGGGAAAAGTAGGTGATGCTTACAGGCAGGAAAGTTGAGCTTATGGATGTGCTTTTCTACAAGCCATCTCCATATATGTCCTGAGTCCCCTGTGCTGTTGCCTGCCCATTGGACTGCCTCCCTGACCTTGTCTCTTCTTAGGACACAGCAACTGTTCTTAGGGGATTTGATTTTTTTTTTTCTTTTTTTTAGTGGTTTTATCTTATAGTCTGTCTAAAAGTGGGGATAAGCTGCAAGGCCAAGAGCAGGCAGGTAAGACATCAAAACATCATTCATAATTTCTTATAACGACTGTTTAATTATAAGATATCAAGCACCACAGACCTCTAGGCTGGGGTGAGCTATTGGGAGAATGTGATATTCATGCATAAGCTGTATATTTTTTACTTCATTTGGAAGATGAGAAGATTCTCTCGTGAAGGGACTGTAATTCTGACTGACCTGAACACAGAACGTTTTGCATGTTCTCATCTTCTTTCCTGATCTGCTGAACTTAGTGAATTCAGAGACTGGTTATTTTGGGTTTTTTTTTAGGAAAGGAGCCATAAACCCAAGTCAATTCACAGCTCTTCATGTCCACAGAAGAATATTTTAGAAGTCCAGAATATTATTTAGCAGTGTTTCCCTATCTTTATGGTTTTATAAGTAGAAGATGCAGTTCAACAGTATGTGATTTAATCTTGTCTCCTGTTAGAGATTACTGAGGCTAAAATGCCCAATTTCCCTCAAATATTAGAGGTCACATTTTGCTTAGCAAAATTTATTATTCATAAGCAAAGATATACTTAAATGTGCAAATTTACAAAGTATTTTTTGTTTGTTTGTTTGTTTTCATAAGGTTTTCTGATAGATTTCTAAAGGGCATTATTTCCCCTGAAGTAGTTTCCAGTTTGGTAATGAGATTCAGTGTTTCTAGCATTGGGAACAATATACTTAGACAGCTCTGGAAATGTAAATACTGTACCCTCCCCATTACTATTTCTGTGACCTCTTAAATAGGGAGGAAAAACCCTCTAATAAATGTCAACCTCTTTAATGAGGAACTTCTCATGAGAGTCTTCTCATTAGAGAAAGAAGGTTCTAACCATGAGCAAAATGACTTGTGTTGCACTACTTGAAGATGCAAAGTTTATCCAAGTCATGAAGTGGACATGAGCTCCTGAGTAGTTCACCACTTAACAGGTTGGATGGCTTAGTATGGGCATAGTTTTGACCCACAGAAGTACAGGACAATTCAACTGACTTTAGCCTACAAGAAAAGCCACTTAAGGTGTCACACCCTGTGTTTGCCTGGTTTTAGGATATAGCCACACCAGCTACTGCCTCTAACCCAACTTTGGGTAATCTATCATGTTCTGCCATTTGATTTTTTGGTGACCTGCTACTGCCTACATTTCCTATAAACACAACGTCATTAAAGTCATCATTAAATTTTTTACTGAACACCATGACCAGTGTTCCACAGTGCTAGGTTTTTATTTGGCAGCACTTGTGTTTATTCAGTCCTGGCAATATGAGAGATATTGAGGAAATCACATCAGCAGCCACTTTGTGGTATAATGTTCTCTTACAAAGAGGAATCATCGTGGCTAGGCTTCATGAAGGAAGATTTGAGAACAAAGAGGAATAAGTACTTTTTAACTCACTGTCTAATCTAATTCTTTAAGTTCTCACATTTTATAGTGAATCTACAGCTTCTGCTGGCACATGAGTAAGAAATGGTATATAACAAGTAGATGATTCTTACTCAAATTATGATGAGTTTGCTGATAGAAAGTCTGTTTTATGTTACTACACAAATTACAGGATATCAGTAACCTTTATATTTTCATTTTGGATGGCTATCCTTTTACTGAGTAAGCCAGAAGGAACTCATGCTCAAATTTCCAAGCAGAAGAATAATATAATAGGGAAGGTGAAATGAGGTTTACTCCTTCTTTACTGATACAATTTTGTTAAATAGATGAGAAAACTTTAAAACCTTTTCTCTTCTATTTATTTTTATAGACAAAAGCCCCCAACATTTTTCTTGTGGCATTCAAAGTTTATCTTCTGCTGCTCATAGGCAAATGTTACCCCAGCTTTCAGAGGATCAACAAGACTGTTATTTTGGTGTTAGGAAGGAAAGTGACAATGACAGGCACGGTGTATTTGCGTCTGATTTATTCCCTTCTCCTCCTCAGTAAATAATCAAATACAGCTCACAGGTATAGCACACTTGAAATCCAGTAAACAGTGTTACCACTTTTATGACATATATTTCCTCCTCCAGAAACTCTTGCAAGTATTCTGCAGCTATCACTACTACTCTCAAACACAGTTAGTGCCTGATGCTAAGCACAGAGAAATCAATATTCACAAACATTTACAAAATTTCTAATACACTAGAAAAACTGTCACATACCAAAAAAATCATACCAGCATGTATTGGAATGAAAATTTTAAATAATATATTTTAATTGTGGGGGGTTTAATTAAAAAAAACCCAGGGATTAAAATTTATTTTAATCATATTTTTGCTCTGTGTATATCTTCAATGGTTCTGCAGCAGATGGTAGAACCAAATTCATAGTGCTTACTTTTAAATAGCAGAGGCTTAGAGTGTACTGCCACCGGTTTATGAAATGTAAGGGCACCTATCTTCCCTTTCTTGTCAGCGTGTGTTGCATTGTTCTATGACTCACCTAGCTCATCTATGACTTGATCTTCCCACAGTGATATTGTTCTGCAACTTTGTCACTCATGCTAAAGTGTTTCCTTATTTAATGAAATCAGTGTTTTGGTCTTTTCTCTAATTTGAAAGATTTCTGTTTTGAGAGGGGAAAAGGTAAAAAACCCACAAATTGTTTTAAATTCCTCTTTGTAGTTTCCTTCTCTCAAACTGATTTCTAGGCCTGTTTAAGATGTGAGTTGATAGATAACCTGCAGTGATAAAAAAACTATCAATATAATGTTTCCACTGTATATAAATATTTGCTACCGATCTTGATAGGTGTATGTAGGTAAAATTCAAGTTAGGCATGACAAAACCTGTTGAGAAAGACTACCGTGCTGTGGGATATTCCTTTTGCACTCTGAACACTTTGAAAAACAGTTATTTCTCTACAGATTAACAAATACAGACACGATAAGAAATGAAGCAGAGAATCATTCTCAGGTGCCACAACTGCTGTTGCAACTCATTGTGCCTTGTCTCTCCAAAACTTTGTTTTGAGCGATTATATCTTTTGAAGTAGGTGGCTAGAGAAACCATGTTCTCTAAAGATTCCCCAAAGATTCACCATCTGTCAAAAGTGAGCCATTCTGCCACCTTTATAATTAACTGGTACCTCACACCTACATTTTCACACCTACTGTAACATACTGTTCTTGAGAATAAGCGTATTGCCACACTCATGTCAGCTCCTCTTCTAAGGCTAAGGCTCTTCTATTATGTATCATTATAAACCAAGACAAAATGCAAATGTTTACCCTAGGAAAAAATCATAATGACATCCCAGAGGAGTACATAAGTAATCAAACTTCACAGTTGCTTTTTTACCAACCAGGTCCCTGCAAGAGTTTTCAGAAAGTCCAGCTATGTCAAGATGCAAGAATCTCAGCTCTTCCCATTTGCTCATGCTCACTGGTGCACCCAAGAGGTTAGTTAAATCCATGCATTTCCAGTGAGGAATATCAGGTGTTAGTTCATCAAGGGATCAACAAATATGAGTACAATTTTAAATAAGTAGTCAAGATCTCAGTTTGTAAAAACCATGAACTCATTTATTTGAACAAGAGCAAAATAACTTTTAAAATAACATGTATCTGATCTCCAATGCATTTGCACCAGTGTAAAAATCAAAACCTACCTGAAACTGCCATGGCATTTGAATCCCCTGGAAGATAAAAGGCTGTGAGTTCTTATGGCAGCTGCAGCATGCCTTGTGTCTAGAGAGAAGGAAATCTAAAAAGCTGTGAACCTACACTTTTTATTAATGTTCTACTTGCTAAGCTATCTAGATGTAATGCCACCAGATTCCTTTGGGGAGTAGAACGTATATTAATCTTTTAGCAGTGTAACCCAAAATGCCTCCTTTCACTTAAGAAGTAGTCCCCCCAGGAGGGGAAAAGAAGGGAAGGTAGCTGCTTATTAAAAACAAGACCATATGATAGCTACTGCGAGAGAAAGGTGGTACCAAGAGAGCAATGTAAATAATCCTGATGTTTTCACCACAGTATCACTGAATGGCTGGTGTTCTGGGAAAAGGATCCAGTGGAGATTCTGCTTAATTTGGGGTTTGGTACAGAAGAACCTGATGTCTGCACAAAAATCCCTCCTCGGTTCCTCAGTGGTGCTTCTGTAGCAAAACAGTTCAATGTCCAAGTCTTTTTGGAAGCTCAAAAGCAGCGGACGGATGTTGAGAAGCCAAACCTATTTGGTAAGAAGAGACATTTTGGCAAAAGGAGAAGTTTTAGCCATAAATCATGCAGGAACTTAGAAGGTAGGGAAGAAGATGATTATGAAAGAAAATTAATGAAATGGGGACATGTATTTAGGAAACAATGAAGAACCTCATATACCCCTTTTGTGGCAATGATACTTCCTAATATGACTAAGTTCTGTGTAGCTCTATTTAGCTGTGGACTGATTTCTCTGCTGAAGCTACTAGCTTGTGGCATTTTAAAACAAAACTGCACATCCTCTATAAGACCTACCCCATGATCAGAGATTGTTCTTGGTGTCGCAGAGGCTACAGAATTATGTGGGTCCACCGACTCAGTCACTTCACTGTAAGGACACACCATCATTGGTGATGTAAGCCAACACAGAGGATATTGAATTCAGCTAGGCCTGACATGGAGCCATGTTCCCCATTAGCCTTGATGGGCACAGGATCGCGGCTACAAGACAATGTGCAGAGCAGATGACAAGATATTAACTTCCTGTGACTAGAGCTGCCAGAACCTGTGCATTAGACCCAAAAATCCCTAACTAGAGCTTAACAGTTTTGTGTTTCAAATGTGTCCTAAGACATAGATGAAGGATACAAAAAAATATGCACCATTTAAAGCACAAAGTCTTGATTTTTATTCACTTAGATGCTTTTAGTTCTTGTTTTGTATATTTTGCTGTTAAGAAATGAATGCTAGGTCTTCACTCTAAAGACATACTTGTATTAAAATAGATTATTAATCTGCTAGTATATCATCCATCTGAGAAGTCCTATTTTGACATCATATCCCAAAAGTTGGAGGCACAGTTAGCCAGATGGCTCTTGAAATCTTCTGTTTACTTAAGATACTCAGTAAAGCAGGATCTCTCACGTAGCCCATGCATTCCCATTTAGAATTGCACCAAGGAAGCAGTATGGATGGAATGAGAATTGAAAGAGAAATGTCAAAGCATTGTGGAAAATATGTTTTTTCTCTTTCTCTCTTTTTATAGCACACATTTCAATATTTACAGCAAACTGACATATCAAACAGGTTTCTTAGCTCTCACTTTGTTTCTCTCTCTGTAACTCCTGAGAGAGAGGGAAAGAGGGATCAGAGGTAACCAATGTGAGTAGATATAAATGGATTTGATGAGAAGACTCTTAAACATATTAGAAATTGGCTGGATGGTCACATGCAAAGGGTCAATAGCTCAGAGTGTCAGTGGACTCTGGGATTGAGTGCACCCTCAGTAAATGAGTGCACCCTCAGTAAATTTGCTGATCACACCAAGCTGACTAGTGTGGTTGACGTATCTGAAGGACATGATGTCATCCAGAGGGACCTGGACAAGCTCAAGAAGTGGGCCCAGGGGAATCATCTCCTGTAGTTTAATAAGACCAAATGCAAGATGCTGCACACGGGTAGGGGCAACCCCTGGTATCAATATAGGGTGGGGGATGAACAGATTGAGAGCAGCCCTGCTGAGAAGGACTAGGGGGTACTAGTGGATGAGAGACTAGACATGAGCCTGCAATATGTGCTTGCAGCCCAGAAAGCCAAATGTATTCTGGGCTGCATCAAAAGCAGTGTGACAGGTTGTCTTAGTTTAAAGACAAATAGTCAGGCAGGAACTCCAACAAAATGAACTCCCTGATGAACAGATTGAGGGTGATGATTTTCCCCCTCTGCTCTGGTGAGAGCCCACCTAGAGTACTGCATCCAGTGCTGGAGTCCCTGGCACAGAAAAGACCTGTTGGAAAGAGTCCAGAGGAGGGCCACCAAGATGATCTAAGGCTAAGAGAACTGGGATTGTTCAGCCTGGAGAAGAGAAAGCTTCAGAGTGACCTAATTGTAACCTTCCAGTACCTTAAGCGAGCCTACAAGAAAGATGGAGAGTGACAAGACAAGGGAGAATGGCTTCAAATTAAAAGAGCAGGTTTAGATTAGATGTTAGGAAGAAATTCTTTACTCAGGGAGTGGTGAGGCATGGGAACAGGTTACCCAGAGAAGATGTGGATGTCCCATCCCTGGAAGTGTTTCAGACCAGGTTGGATGGGGCTTTGAGCAACCTGACCTAGTGAAGTCTCCCTGCCCAGGGCAAGGGGGTTGGAATTAGATGATCTTTAAGGTCCCATCCAACCCAACGAAATAGTCCCTGACATAATTTTTTTCATGACCTAAGTATTTATTACACTGCACATGAGTGAGGGATTTATTTTTATGTAGTTCATTTATAATTTCTCTTGTTTGATTTGTTCATTAGGTGTCTCAAGTTCTTTGAAATAATTTACAAAAGCTAAGTGGTGGGTAAAAAAAAAAATCAAATTGCAGCAAATTTTGTTCTGGTTCAATCAAAAAAAATGACTGGACTGCTGTACCAGACTGCTGTCAGACAAAGGAGATTAGCACTTGGCATGTTTATGGCCTGATGTAGTGGGAGCCAGATGAAATACTGAGGATAAAATATGCTTTACATGGAGAGCATGTGGTAGCCCAGTGGATGTACAAAATGAAAAATTATTAACTTTGAAACCCCAAACTTAAGCAAATGGAAAGTATACAACACTGTGTCACATGATACTGATAGATCAGATAACTTGAAACAGTATCAAGTGAAAACTTTTTTTAAACAGTCGCAAAATTTTCCTCCAGTGTTAAAAACCAGGCAATGTCTAGGGCAAAACAATAAGGAGTATTCTTGAAATATAGTAGCTATCTGAAATATTATGTCATGATATTTGTCCTTGATACTATGGACCATGTTAAATATTCCATTGTTGTCTAATTGTCAGTGAAGCAGCTTTACCAACAGTCTGCATAGAGAAAATGTGGCTGCTCTCTAACAGAAACGACAGCCAAGAAAGTTAGCATTTTGCTATCTACTGTGCTTAATGAATCTCTCAAGGAAGGAGGAGTTCTGGTGGCATATTCATTGCCTCAGGATAGGTACTGACACAATGTGCAAGCAAATGCGTTGTGTTTCTTTGTACAAATGACTTCATAGTACTGTAGTGAAGGAGATCTCCAAGATCCCTTAGATAAAACATTTTTGGCTTCTCTTTATATACTGTACTATGGAAAAAAATGGCCCAGAAATTACAGGACGTTAGCACAATTAAAAGAAAAAAATAAAAATCTGGTAACCTTTATATGACATCAGCTATGACTTTCTGGGGGATAAGTTATTTGCTTTGTGCTCCTATGAAAATGAGACTATAACTTCTGCTGTCAATTTTTATCAGTTAATGACTGCATTTTGCAGCTATCTTGGAGAGCTGCCAGCTGTAAACATTTGAGGTCAGATTTAAATAACTTTATTCACATGAGTTTTAATAAGTCATCAAAAATGGCATCCAAGTCTGGTACAGACAACTGGAGAATTTCAGGCTGAATTCTGTAACTGTTATTCACAGAGAGCAATATTCAGCTGCACTTGACCCAAGGAATTCAATCTTGCATGTTTGTCTAATATAAAGAACTACGCAATGATGTCTCTATGTAATTTGAATGGGTCCTCTGGAAGCAAATGTAAAAATGTAGCCACTTTTAAATTAAGTGCTTAGTACGTGTCTTGGCAATGACAAGCTTGAGTAATCATTGTACTTTTTTTTTAAATTATGCTTTTTAATAACCATGTTGCCTCCCATTATGCCAAACTCAAGAACATTTTTGACTACTGGAAGTACTTGACTGTGTATCCAGTGCCCTCACATCTTTGCTGACTGATGTAAATACTCAATAGATCAAAGCACAGGACGCTGGTAGGGATAAGACTAGTCTGCTGGATGCTGCAAAGATCAGACTTGTGATAGCATAAGTGAAGTGGAGAAGACTAAGTTAGATCCTGTATAGGGCTTCTCGTTAGACAATGTTACTGAAATAGGGCTCACTGGCACTTGGGAAGCCAACTTGCACAGCAGGGAAGAGCAATCCTGTTCTTGTGCAGATATTGCTGGTTGGGGGCACAGTTCAGGCACGCATTTCTGCATGTGTTACATTGGGCTGTCTGACCCGGGAGCAAACCCCTGGAAATAAAAGTGCCTCGGCATATCCTACCTGCCAGTGTCCACTGATGCCATCAGAGAAAGCGTGGGTTTCACTGCACCTGGTTGCAAAACAGCCTCACCTTTCTCCTGCATGTGAGGTGCCTGCCAAAGACCGGCCAAGAAAGGAGCCAACTTTGCTTGTGGCCCACATGCTCAAAGAAGCGGTTGACCTAAACTGCAAGCTGCCAGACTCATTTGAAATGGAAGCGGTAAGGTGAATTTTTTTGTATTGTGCTAGCAATATATTTCACAGAATATCCTGAGTTGGAATGGACCCACAAGGATCTTCGAGTCCATCTCTTAAGTGAATGGCCCATACAAGGATCACATGCACAACCTTGGTGTTATCAGCACCATGCTCTTACCAACTGAGCTCATGTCAGGGTCATCTCCATCCTATTTACAGTATAAGTTTAGATTCTCTTATTCAGGATGATAGCTAGAAAAAATTATTTCAACCAACACCATGCAGCAGAATTTTGAGGAAAACCAGTACAATTTACAATACTGTTTGGGGACTTGATTATTTTAAATTGTCTTTGTGTTACAATACTGTTAAATAAGTTGCCACTGAAGTTACAATGTTTTTATACAGCACTAGGTGTTGGTTTTTTTAATAGAAGGGAGTTGCAGGAACAGTGACATTTATGGTAAAGGATATATTTTACAGGTCCAGTCATTAACCAGAGTTGATAATTTTTTTCCCTATCTTCCCCCCCCTAAGCTCATTTTCTGGTGTGTTCTTTCAGAAAATTGGATTAGAAAATTATCCTTACTTTATAGCAGTGTTTGAAATAGTCTATCACTCTGTAAGCTGAGCATACTAAAACTAGAATAAATCAGTAGAGTACCTTACTCTCATGTAAGGTACTTTTGCATCTCTGCAAAGTCCATGCGACTCAGCTCTCTATATGTTTTAATAATAGTGGGTTGTTAAAATGAGACTAGTAGAGACCAGGATACTTGTCAGTCCCCTTCTTATATCTAGCTTTATTTTGTGAGCAGCAGTTTTTCTGGGTGTACTGGTGTATAAAAAGGGCTATGGTAGAATACTCTCCAATCATACAGACTCAACTGGGACACCAACAGGAATACTCTTCTGCTTCTAACCATCCTTCAAGAATGAAGAAAAGGAAGAAGTCCAAAAACTAGGCTCTATTCTAAGAATCAAGGAAACGGGGAGATATGGGATGATTGGCAGACCCCTGAAAACATATGGCATGCACATGGAGGGAAGGAAGGGAAGAGAAGGCAAGGAAGGAAGCAGCAAGTGACTGGAAAAGGTGGGAGGCTTAAAAAGGTTTTCCACTTCTTAAAGCTTGGGAAAGTTTAGGGTAATGTGGTGGCATTCTTTTTGAGGAAAGGATATTTATCTTTTCAAGTCCTTTTCTTTGATAGGTTTGGTGCAGCCTTTCTCTCAGTAGAGTTGATTCAAGAATCAGAGCACAAACCTGATTATCAACCTCAGTGGGAATTAGAGTGTATTTAAGAGATCTCCAGCACTGCAAATTTATAGTCCCAGAGTAGCCCATATGTCTAGCACTTAGCATGCTGGACTTGCAGCCCTGTAACTAGAGGCTCACACAAAAGGAAGGGCATTTGATAGAGCAGTAAACACGGGTGATCACAAACTGCCCATTTTAATGTCTAAAACAATCTGTTGAATGCTGTACACCCAGATTAAATGGGGTATATATTGTTTAACTTCTCAGTATTCTCTACCACGTCATTAAATTAAGACCATATATTGTCTGAAACTACGGGACCACCTAAATTAGTAGTCTGGCTGTGGCCAGTAGCAGATGTGTGGGGAACAGAATAACAGGCACATATACAATGATCTTTCTCTTATATTCTAGCCTTTGACAAAGAGAGAATTAGAGATCCCCTTAAGCTACAGACGGCATGGAGAACACACCCAATGTCAATGTTCATGTGTTACTTTTATCTAACAGATCCCCTCTTCTCTTAAATTTTTTTATTTTTTATGAAGGAATTTATGCAGCACCATGACATGATGTTCTCATTGATACTATGAAAAAGTCAAATGTGTCTTCATTCCTAGAGGGAAAAAAAAAATCTGACTGTACATACACTCCTTGGCAAGAATATTTCCTTGGGTTACTTCTGCTAAGTCATATTTTTTTCCCTAGGGATATTTCTCTGAGGCTGTTCACATAAGATTGTTAGTGTATTGCAACCTTTCTATATTGATTATGTTATGTTTTCACTTTCAAACATGCAGAACCTTTTTTGTTTGTTTTGTGTTTTTACTCCTAACTCCCCTCATAAGGTGTATATTAAAAATCATTACCATCAATAAGAATTTTTCCTCCTCTCTTCCTTTTCTTTTCAGATTCAGAGCTTTGAGGATGAAACTCTATGTGGAAATGCTCCTGACACCACTTCAGTTGAGTGTTAAGAAACAATTTGCCCATTTTTATTTTTAAAACACTGTTTCCATGTAGCTGCTTTTAAAGTTTACCTAACAGTACATTTTCCCTTTCTGCCCCCATCACCTCTGGCATTTGAATGCATCATTCTAGACATGATAGTCTAGATTATACAACCTGATAAATCATAGGGCTGTAAAATATATTTAGCTTGTCAAGGAGACACAATGAGCGCACATGAAAACAGTATCTCACATGCATAACTTTGAGTGTGTGGGGTCCCTGTTTGATGCTTTAAGCAGATCTCTTTCTAATGTTTTTGGTCTACCAAGCAACACTAAATGTGTGCTCCTGCTTGGTGAAATCTTTGCCAGACTCAGATGACCCCTTATACACTAACTCTCAGATCCATGGGAGATAAGTCAGCCAGGAAACTGGAGATAGTAGGTCTGCAGCCATTCTGTACCCAACTCAAAAAGGACCACTCAATCAGAACTTTCTGGTGGTGGCATGGCCTCTACCCCATCATCTGTGTCTACTCTATCACATAGCCACCACCACGTGAGCTGACATAGCAGCGAATCATGTGTTAGCAAGTAAGTTATTTGAGGAGCCTATGAAAGGATTAACAGCAAAGCTGTTGGACCAGATGTTATATTGTCATTTGGGGTAGTCTGAGTTTGGATCCTGAGAAGCATTTGCTCTCAGGAATGGCAATATTGGGGAAATGGCTTTTCAGTCTCCAAAGCACGAAATACCTGTCCTTGCTCCCTAGAGACCTTTCCTATCCAGTGCTTAGAGCAGAACTGGCAGGGTTTAGTTTTTTTTTTTTAAATGAGGCATAAGTTTAATGTGAAAGAACTAATAAGTGGCAAGTAGCAGATAGCAAGGGAGAAAGCTGGAAGTTTGGTGAGCCCTCGCCTTTTGTGAACTATGCTATATTACTTCAGTGGAGCCAGCACAAATAATATAGCAATCTAAGTTCCTACACAGGTATCTAAAAAAACCCTCAGATATCCACTAGTGCTGGGCATTCAGAGGTACCATTGACTAGAATGACAGCTGTATTTGCAGGAGTGGAATCGTGAGAGCCATATGTCCTACTGACTTCAGTGAGGCCAGTGTTTTTATCAAAATATGTGGGGTTTCCTTGGTTAATCCTAGAGCTTAGTGAAGGTGATGGAATAGAATAATTAATTCCTAAGTTCTGAAGCATTTATTTGTGTGTTCAAATTATCTATAAATGTACTTGCTGTTTTGCTGAGGGATTGGTGGTGGTGGTGTGATGTTTAACATTGCAATATATTGCATACCTATGGCATTCTGTCAGAGCTCTATGTCCAGTCTGTCCACACACGGCTCCAGCATCTTATGGGGTTTAATGTCAGGTTCTTGTTGCTACTCAGACTTGTCATCTGAATTACATGAGGTTACTTTGGTTTTGTTTTCTGATGGATGTCTTATCTTCATGAACAAAGATGAGTACTCATAGGAGTAGTTTTACTCCTAACAGTATCTACAGAAAGAATAGCAATTCCCCAAGATTAGTGCAATGAAAAACACATTTGGATAAACATTCAGGGATAAATTAAAAAAAAAGAGAATGTGGACATAGCCCAATGGGGAAAGAATTCAAAATGTAACAACATAGACACAAATGCTCTTTTCTTTTTTGTCCATCTCTAAAATATGACTGCACTATTTAATTATGAAGGGCCTTAGCTAGAGGATTTAACAGGTTGTATAGATATAGCAATAACCAGACAAGGGGGAAAAAACTCCAGTATGTTCTGAATACTCTTTTATGACCTAGGAATAAGCACATGTTTAGTCGTAATTTCATGACAAAAAACCCAGACAGTTATTATTTGATTTAAGTCTGGTAAGACTGTCATTCAGTTAAGTGTTCTACCAAAATCATACAAGCGAACTGAATTTATGTAAGGTGTATACCTTTGCAGAACTATAATACTATTTTAGAATTTTGTTTAAATACCATGGTCTCTCTCTCTTTCTCTCTCTTTCTCTCTCTCTGTCTCTCTCTCTTTTCTCTGTTGTTTTAAAGTCTTTGATGCTTGGCCTAAATTTAAAGTGGAGATTTCCAGCTTTTTTTTACAGGCATTTTTCATATTCCTTCTCTTTTTTCCACTGCTATTAAATGGCATACACTTTCATATCCAAAGGAGTATTTTTGCAGCTTCAGTGTGCTTACCTACCTCTTAAGAAGGTTCCTATCAAATTCAGCAGAATGTGGCTCAAACCCATAAGTAGGGGTCCTCAAGATAGAAGTGAGTGGGAAATAGAGTCCATCAGGAGTCTACACAAAGAAAACCTCACCTCCTGTCAGAGCATGCCTGAATTCGTATTTGGCCTCCAAATTCTCTAGGGCACATGCTGCCTCTTTTTCAAGGCTTATGGAGTGCCTGATACCATAAGGGGCCAATCTCATTTTACTGTGGGCTCTGTTGGAAAGGATGTGAGTGGTGATGATGAAGATGTGACAGCTTGCCATGACCTTGGCTGAAATGAGAACTCACCTGAGTGAAACTGTGAGGTTCCCAATATGAGAAGAAATAGAGATAGGCAGGAACAGAATGCTTTGCCTAGACAGAGCATATTAGAGATGGGTATAGAAGTACTTGTCCCAGCGGTATTGTCCCTTGGCTGTGTAACCTCGCCTCAGTTTTAGTCCAGTTGCCTATTTTTCTACATTCCCCATGAAAGCCAATTCCCTGGGTGCTGTGTGTCTTCTTTATATTTCTTTACAATGTAGATTCTAGCTGTTTAACTGCAGTAGACTTTATGATAAGGCTTTT